ATTTGTCGTAGAAAAAGTATAGTACCCCGTTTATAAACTTTTTTATACACTCATTAATTTAAGCACTTGCTCGCAAGCTCGCTCCTGCCTAAATTAAATTCGTGACTAAAATGGCGTTTATCAAACTTGATACATAATATACTATTCTTGGAATTCGTTAATTCTAACAAACCAAACTTCTAAAGAATCTTATCCGGAATTAAATCCATTTGGACTAATGCATGGAATTTCACTGTTTTTTTGCAGATAAGGCTTCAATTATTTCTATTAAATTACAACAAAACGAAATTTGAAAAAATATTACACGACCTTGATAAACAATTGCCTAACAAGCCTGACAATTTTATTTATATTAATTGTTGGGCAAATACGCTTTACGAAAGTGGACCATGTAATGGTTCAATTCTAATGTCAATAAAATTATTTCCTGATTTTTTTTATTTCTTTTACATTCACTTTACGTGCTAACTCCAGCATATTAGTGTTAAATATATTACTTATTTGTCAATTAGTGCCACAGATTTTGTCTAGTTATCCTAGAGAAATTTTAGGGCACATTAATTTTAAATTGGAACATTAAATTTAATAAGTAAAGGTTTTCCAGTCACGACAAAACAAAAGATAAATTAAACCAAATTAAGTTTGGTTAAACGGTTATTATAAATTATACTCTACTAATTAAGATTGTTTTAATTTGTTAGGTTTCTTTTTAAATTAATTTTACGTCTTGTAAATACCATTGCTGTATAACAGTGGCGTGCAGTGCTATTTAAAAAAAAATATATATATATATAAAATTATAACTTACCCCAAGCATGGATGTCTGGACCTGAAATTAAAAATGCACTGTAATTACTATTTACAAAAATTTATTCTGTCAAGTTATCCATATAAAAATTCAAATAAAATTAAACTAATAGTAACATGGAGTAATGTCTTGTATTACCCTTGCCCGTAGTTCTTGTGCAGTAGAGGTAGGGTTTTAAAATTTATGGAAAAATTGAGCCGGCAGAAAAAAACGAAAAAATTGTGAAATTTTCAGAAAAATTGACTTTAGCACTTTTTTCATTTTGTTTTAAGGGTAATACGAAAAACAATAAAAGGTCAATTTATCTGAAAATTTACAAATATTTGGACACTGATATCAAGAAAAAAATTAATTTTCTACTCTAATTATAATCATATAATACATGATTATAATAATTATTCCTATTATTATAAAAAATAACTAATTCGGTGCTGTATTAACATAACTATCGTTTTATTTGACACATCTATTTATAAAATTTTATAAGTATAGGGTAGTTTTGAGAGGTCGTTTGCGATATAATAAAAATGTGTAATTTTTAAAAATAAATGATTATAAATTTGTTGTTTTATAGGTAATACTTTTTGCTTGCATTGTATGAACGCCACTGCTGTTTAAATACAAGGACTGTTAAAAAAATAAGATGATTAAAGTATTAAGAAATAGTTATCTTGAACTATATTGTCAACAGGATATTAGAACAATTTTTTGATGATTCAAGGATCATCACTTGGATTAATCACCGACTTAAGTACATTTTGAAATAGCTTAAGTCAGCTTTGAAATTATTACGTCTTCGAGATTTTTTAACAATGAATGAATTGCAATTTTTATTCTTTCAAGAAAAACATTTAATAAAGAACATATGTACTAAAAACCAGATATATCTGTCGTGTCAAGTTGGTGGAGATTTCGCTAGATGTCCGTAGCAATACAAATCTGTTAATGTTAAAAGAAAGTAGCGTTTTGTGTGTTTACCTTGGAAAACGGTAACGGTAGGGGCAGCTAACCCACTTACCGGCGACGTCACTTAATGAGGCTGACGTCACGGCGCGGCGGCGGAAAGTTGCGCGCGCACCTTCCCAAGAAGTAAGCACGCTTCGATCGGCTCAAGAAGTAGTTTTGGTCACTGTTTGTGCAGCAAACGTCAAAGTGAGCGACGTAAGACGCGGGTAACCGCGTGTTTTCAAATCCAACGGACGTGTAATGAAGTGACATTTGTTCCGATTGCTGTGAAGTGATTTTTGTTGTTGTTGTGCGCCGCAATTAAAGGATTATTTTCTGTTATTTTTGTCGGGTAAATATTTTTTTGTTGTTATGTCAAAAACCTGGAAAGTATATTTTATATGGCACTTTCCTGCGAACGAGAGTTTGATTTTTATTTTACCAGACAAAATGCATTTAGAATTTTAATATATTGTTGTAATATTCTGCGAAGCCGTACTTTCTATACCATACTTACATGCTGTAAATATAATCGAATTAAAAATAATAAACAAGAGAAACTTTTTTGTCGGCAGGTGTTTTGGTGTGAGCGGGTTCGTCGTGTTTTTGGCGTTGAAGTCTCTATAAAAATACATGCCCTTTCGTTTTAAAAGCATCCCACTATACTATACTTTTCCATTTAAGTAAATACATACAATATGATAATTATCATACTTTCAAAATAAATAAAAAAATAAATACATTGTATTCCTACATACAGTAAGATTTGTATCTGGTGTTTTAGTAAATATGAGACAGTAGCTAATTCAATTGATAAACTGCATTTTATTATAGCATGCCGTTTTATCTGCTCTCATAAAAATGCAGAGTCGTGCTGTTTTTATCTCATCCTAGACACATTGTACGATGAAAAAAAAAATGAAAAAAATATGTTTGGCGTTAAAAAAAGGATGTAGGTAACATATTAAGACCCTGATTCAACAAAACATCTTAAGAAATATCCGGAGCTTATCTATTAACTACTTTTTCGATCATATTGTGTTTTTTGTTATAAACAACGTTTATAATAATTTTCAACTTGTTTGGCAGGTGAAACTGTAAGGCTTGTTGAAAATTTTATTAATTTAGAAAGCAAATTAACAGTTGACAACGCGTAAATTGTTTTAAACGGCATTCACTTAACGTGTGATGTGTGTGATGGATTTGGGCATTTAATTTGGTACATTAGTATTTACGATAAACATTTCACCTCTACCGGAAATTCCTATTTAATTTGCATTTAAATTACATCCAAAAAAATACTATCTAATGCACTACTGTTATAGGTATTATTTATGCACGGAATTTTTAAGGAAAAAAAGCAATATGTAGCTTATGGTGTGTTTGTTGTATGTGTACCTTTTCAAGGTCGACAATTTTTACATTGTATTTTTTCAGTCGGCATTGATTTTTCGTTTTTATTTTTCGTCTACCGTTTACGGCCATAAATTACCATACCACAAAAGTAAAGAATTTTTATTATAGCAATAATTATCGTTTTTGATCATTCACACAATAAGATTATAAATCTCTTCTTGTCGCTTGTAACTGATACTCAGCAGCGATAAGGTTTTTCATAACTATGCTAAAAACAATTAAAATTTCTCGGGTTATTTTGTAATTAATCATTGATTTAAATTGCGTTATTTGCTCAATTCCGATCTTTAAATTTCTACCCAATAATCACATATTAGCCATTTTCAACCATTAGACCATACGGGATATACTTTATATTAAACGAAACCTACTATTATTATTGAAAATAAAAATTGTAAATCATTTTAGTTTTAACAAAAATATGTACTATTTATTTTAAAATTCTAACTATTTTGCAATTATATATAAAATATCTTTTTAATGGATAGGTTTACAAAAAAACAACGGAATACGTTTTTTGTAGAGCATTTAATTTTATATGACAATGTTTTTAATCGTATTAATTGAAAAATTGCTATGAGGAGGATGCTAATCTTATACGTAGATAGGATTCTTTTGAGGAGCCCAGCACCCAATTTTTCAATAAAAAATAATAGTAAATTTTTTTAATCAACCTAATATAAATATATATAAATATATACCAGTGTTAAAATCCCAAGACTAACCTTTTCTTCTAATAACATAATGCTCGAACCGTAAAAAAATAAAACAAAAATTAAAAAAATGTGCACCCTCATTATCACCATAGTTTTGGGAAATCCACTTCAAAATTCTTGATTCTGCGACCTTTAAAAACGTCCCGCCTTAGCCGGGCGACAATAAAAAACTTAATTTGGGTGCGCCTTTGAAAATATCAACCGTTTAGAAGGACAAAATAATCTAATTAGTTACCTACGCCCAATTTGCTTTGGCATATGACGAAATTCCAATCTTTCGAACGCAATCTCTTTGTTGTATATTAATTGTAGCAAATATGTTTTGCAGAATACAAGTATTCCCTTACATACACAGCCGGAGCTGGTTGTTGCTGTAGGTTTTTAGTTTCATTGCCTTAAATTCTATTAAATTTATAGTTCCATTCTTCCTAGTGCGAGGCGAATTTACTCTTGCAAAAGTAAATTTGATATTTCACACTTAATAGTTGAAATGAAGGACTTTTTATCTTTATTATTGCGTACAAAATTTTGCCATAATAAAGTTGCTAAAAATGGCTCGTTAATATACTTTTATAGTGCAAGTTTTTAGAATTGTTTAACTGTGATTTTCCTACACAGACAGTTTAACCTGGAAAAATGTGTTCGAATCGAACGTCGATACGATACCATTTTGGAATAATTGTGTGTGGACACACGGCCCACAGTAAAATAACTGTTATGCAATGAATAATACTAAGTTCGCGTTTTAAAATTCACATGCTGTACGCGAACCGAAAGATTTATATTAAGAAACAACCGATTTATGTACTCAGCTCCGCCAAAATACCTAAGTACTTTTTTGGACTGTCCCATTGAATTCAAAAGTTAGTATCACTTTAAAGATCTGCCGTTTTTGGCGACCCCAACAACAAACGCCCAATTAGGTTAGTTTTGAAAAAAACGTTTTTTCGTAAATCCATCGGAGATCAAAGTTTCACCGAAAAACTGTATACAATAATAATTAAAATCGTATTACGAAAAAACATTCTTAAAAGCGGAGCGATATTTGAAAGTGTACTTTCTACTGCCCAGTCGTATAACATAATTTGGTTAATTATAGGTTTATATTTTTGTAGCATTCCACCGTTGGATCTACACATCCCTTTGCCGGCTACCCCCTCTGAAATGGTATCGCGCAGAAGGATTTTGTCAAGGTCAAGGGATGACCTCCACATGGATTCCAATTTCCAGGCTCCAGAAGACGAGGAGGATGTCTGGTACCAAAAGGACAAGCTTTACAAGGTACGTTGGGGGGTGTAAACCGATTTCGTAATTTCGTAATATCCTATTGCGCAAAATGTCACTGCATATCCTATATAAAATTGTTCAAGGATACGTATTGGTATTTACCGTTATTATAACAATCGTATTGTTTACGCATAACGGAATCATATTCAATTATTATTATTGTCAACTCTCGAAAAATAAAATCCATTTAATGACGCCATATAAGTTTATTCTTGCCTAATTAAAGAGTTTATATTCTGGTTGTGGTGCAGTTTTTTTTCTTTAGCGAGCGCGAACGTTAAAATAAAACCTTATCTTGGCCATCAAGGCAGAAATTCTTGAAAAAAGTGAAAACTGGATAATAATTTCCGTTTTATTGGACACTTGCTCATTAGCGATTTTTCGTCAATCATAAATACCAACTTAAGTATTATTGTGTATATGTGCCTAAATACTTTCTAGTTTGGCCTATGATCTCTGACTTCTATAGGTAATAGGAAAACTGTTACGCAACTTGTGGAAAGTTAACGCGAAAAACATTATCAAAATTATTATAATTTACGGAATTTTGTTTTGTTTATGAGAAAATAGAGACTTCATTTGAAACTCTAGGATCGTTTTTATTATACAAAATGTTATGTTTCAGAACAAAAATTAGTTGTTTTTATTTATTCTTGTTGAGTATGTAACGGTTGACACCTACATTTCTCACACTCTGATTTTGCTGAAGTATGTACGTAACCCAAATAGTTATGCTACTTGATTTATAAAATGTAATGAATGGAAAAAAATATATAGTGTTAGCGAGTATTCTAAGAACAATATATCAATGCGTCATCGATGTCTTCCGGTCAAACAAATAATGTGAGTGAAATAATAAACATTAAGACTACCTATTGAACGTTCACCGACAATACATATATATTTACCCATTGCTAGTACAAACAATGCTCATTCTGTTTGGGTTTGAGTGGAGTAAAAAAAACTGAAACGTGTAAATGGAAAAACAAATACTGGGTATGTGAATTTGAAAAGTCAAATAATGTTCTATTTTATGCACTAGAATAAAAATGAGTGTGGGACTTTAATGTCGATTTTATGATTTCAATAAATAACAGGCTTTATAAAAATATTATATAACAGAAAGGGCGTTATGCCATGTAATAAATGCCAAAACATTTCATCCTAGGAAAAATGTTGACATTTATTGTGACCATGCTAACTTTGTACCTATATTCGATATTTTATAGCACGTCACAAAGACTCTATTTATAAATTGAATAAATAATGCCCAATAAATCACATTGTAGCAAAACTAACCCGTCTTACACCTAAGTATATAATGTTACTTGAAAATTTATTGTTTTTCTCATTTTACAAATGGTCCTCGACGAACATTGTTAATTTCTGAATAATTACTATAATTTATATGGCTGACATTTTAATATTTTCATCGTGTTAACAACCAAAACGATTTTTATCTACATCTAAAATTACAAAACTACATTAGTAACTACTCCATATATAAATATTCATTCGGAACGAGTTTTGACAGGGCGTGGGTTGAAAAACCTCGAAATTTTCCCAAAAAATTTACCGTGAAGTGGCTCTTTAAAGTTTTTACGACAAAAAACCGATTTCGATTTAAATGCTTCAATAATGAAAAGGCGTTGTTTTTTCTACGACAAAAAACCTTAACAGGATATACTAGAACCGATAAATTATCGAAGGTCACCAAATCTGGCGACCTTCATATTATTAATTCATTTTAAACTGCCTAATAAAACTCGATTTTCAACTTTGATTTTAATAACTGACCACACACTATCTAATTGGAATTAAATGAACATAGCAGCAATTTGTCACCGTGGAAAAATCATGATAAAGGTGCACTGCTTCTCTAAATCTCCTCACCCGTGTTATTCTAAGTAAATCGAATAAAAAAGTCATTGTATTATTAATTCATCCTCAAAAGCATCGGTCTATTAAGTGATTGAATGAAACTATTCTAAAATCATCTGCGGCCTGGCTAATATCACTTTCTCTCATTAAAGCTGCTCTATTCAACAAACGGGCCTTTCAATTTTATTATTATTATTTTCTTCCATGCACACCATAAACAAAATTATCTTTTGAACAATGCCGTGGCCAAATCGATAATCACCCAAAAAACATATTTAGGCAATTATCTGCCGAATGCGTGTTGAAAAATCATCACCAACCGAAATTATGTAAGCGCTTCGAGTTACATCAAAAAGTGAAAATTTAAGATTTAATTATGCTTGTAATTATTTTTTACTTTGTTACATACTGGCCTACATTAACAACATTTCTTAACAATCCACCAAAATATTTCAAGATTCCTAGTTTTAATTTAAATAAATAATAGTTAAACTAAAAACACTAAAAAGTACAAAATAATTCTCTTAATATTAGGTTGTAAGAAAATATCCAATCCGCCATCTTGGATTTATTATGACCTATCTTGTCTTATCGTTTTTTACTCGTTAAACCCTTTCATTTGATACCCATGTCAAGGAGGTTGTGAAAAATTATGTCAATCCGCCATCTTGGATTTAGTATGACGTCTTTCACATTATCGTTTTCTACTCGTAAAACCCATTCATTTGATACCCATGTTAAGGGGGTTGTACGAAAAAAAAAATCCGCCATCTTGGAGCGGCGGCCATTTTTAATAAATTACAATATTGAGTATACAGCCCGTTCAGAATAAAACCGAATATATCTATATATATATATATATATATATGGGGCGTGGCCTCGCCTCCCTCCACGTCACAGTAGCTTGTGTGATAAACGACACGACGAAAGGTCAAGCAGGTAAGACGACGAAAAATTAAATGATAATAATGAAAAAAATCTCATTAGCGATGCAGGCTATTTGCTTAGCTACTGTGTCGCACGTTGGAGGGAGGCGAGGCCACGCCCCATTTATATATAGATATATTCGGTTTCACTCTGAACGGGCTGTATAAGATTGTATTGTTACCAGCACCAAAAAAATCTTCAATCTTTCAATCTTGAATTTTTAAACAAACTTGTCCACAAATATGCAAAAACTTGTATGTAATATTAAAAAAACATGGTATATGTACATATGTAAAAATAGGTACAGTTAAAGGTTGGCACGTGTAATAATATGTAGCGGGATAGTGTTAAGACGAGTGTTTGTCACTTATCGTGTGCATCTAGAGATGGTAGTCGGTGACATAGAAGACCAAGGTCGTAGGTCATGTCGCTGTTTCGTCATACGCTGGATAAGGGATCTGGCTTGGAGTATTTTAATACCCCGGTCGTAATCTTCTTTGTTTTATTTGCATGTTCGAAGCAATAATTTACTTGTTCTGTGGAAAAGAGTCATTTACAACTATTGTACAAGATAGCCCATCTAGTTGTATTAATTTCCAATTTATATGGCTTTGCGGGTTAATTTGGTTTGGATCCTTTGTATTGGCGCAACATAATACCCACAATAAATTAATAAAGGTTTTATTGGCGACGTTAAAATTGAAAGTTGCTTTTCTTTTCGCAGTGCGGCAAGAATATTTAAACAAGTGTAAAACTCATTTTCTTTTAGAAAACATCGGCCGTATTTGGAGAATCAAAATGCTTATTGCTTTTCTAATTATTTTATGCCATGCTGTAAACTTGATGTGTTCTGTGCCAAAATGGTGTTAAGCAATGATTACGGGAATTAAAATTTGCCCAACAACGCGACCCAGATTTTTTATTGTTCTTTTTTACTGGTGTTTATTTTATCTCAAAGTAAATATAAGCGTGTATAAATTTGATAATGTTATCTATTATTATATTAGAGAAGAAAGAAAGTTATTGTCAAAAATTCTTCTGATGTAACTTCTTAATAGGAGAAATTCCTTTGGTTTATTCATGAGGAGAGATGTTATTTAAAATTCGTGAATACGCAGAAAAAACACAAGTTAAATCATCGGCGGATCAATATTTATAATGTCCAGGTTTTTGTTGTCTCTTATAAATTGGTCCGCAAAATTTATTATGTTAGTACCCAGGTACGAGTTACAAATATGGTTCGAATAAATTAAATGTCGACCAGCACACGCAAGTACGCAAGTTTAGTGGACATTTTGGATAAAATCAAAGATCTTGTTTCGATTAAAAAGCGCAGTGTGTATTTAAGCTGCTGAGTGGACATCGTTCTTGACATTTGCAAGTCCCTGAGCATCCAACCAAACAACTTTCACAACTATAAGTATTTAATTTAAAAGCAAATCATTCAATATTTGACTCTGAACATCAAATTTCTAGCGTGGTTTCAAGTAAACGCACCACGTCTGGACCTTAACTTTCACTCTCAAAAAAAAAAAAAAATAAAATAAAAACAAGAGCAAAATCGTTATATCAACCGCGGAACTTTTAACAATGCTTCTTTCTCATAATTATATTTTCTTCTCTTCACCGCTGGAAGAAATTGTCTTATATGGTGATGGTAACAAATATGCACAAGCATGGAAAAACAAAAGTGTTGATTAAAGTTTAAGGGCTCTAGGGTACACATAAAACATTTTAATAAGTTACTCCACATTTTCTCTACGCTTTAAGCACGCACAAAGAGGTGCCTTATTTATGACTAGCATTTTTATTCAATAAATGCTAATTAGTTAGCGCTGACATCTTACGAGAGAAAGTCACTATTCAATGCACTTTTAATTTAATTGACCAATTAAATCATTCTTGTCATTCGTTCGCTTTTTGTTTTTGTTTGTCTTCGGCACTTAATTAATAAATATCTAATGATATTTAAACGCAATGTTCACAGAAGAGAACATTATACTGACCCACTAACATGCGTGGTTATATAGCACTATAATTATCCAACTCGGGCTTCGAGGTACCCTACCATACGATTAAATCTAAATATTTATAATAATTGCTCTGAATCGGTTCGCCTTTTTTTCATAATGATGTAACCCGACAAATTACACCAGGCTTTGGCCCTTTAGACAAGTTTAACTCAT